TTCATTTTTACTATTTTCTACATTGAAGAATAATAGTGATGAAATCAAAACTATGAAATAACACATATGGAATCATGTAGTAACCAAAGAAGTGTTAAACAAATCAAAATATATTTTATATTTGAGATTCTTCTAAGTAGCCACCCGTTGCCTTGATGACAGCGTTGCACACTCTTGGCATTCTCTCAACCAGTTTCATGAGGTAGTCACCTGGAATTTGTTTCAATTAACAGGTGTGTCTTGTTAAAAGTTAATTTGTGGAGTTTCTTTCCTTCTTAATGCGTTTGAGCCAATCAGTTGTGTTGTGACAAGGTAGGGGTTGTATACAGAAGATAGCCCTATTTGGTAAAAGACCAAGTCCATATTATGGCAAGCTCAAATAAGCAAAGAGAAATGACAGTCCATCATTACTTTAAGACATGAAGGTCAGTCAATCTGGAAAATTTCAAGAACTTTGAAAGTTTCTTCATCTGCAGTCGCAAAAACCATCAAGCGCTATGATGAAACTGGCTCTCATGAGGACCGCCACTGGAAAGGAAGACCCAGAGTTACCACTGCTGCAGGGGATAAGTTCATTAGAGTTACCAGCCTCAGAAATTGCAGCCCAAATAAATGCTTAACAGACACATCTCAACATCAACTGTTAAGAGGAGACTGCGTGAATCAGGCCTTCATGGTCAAATTGCTGCAAAGAAACCACTACTAAAGGACACAAATAATAATAAGAGACTTGCTTGTTTCAAGAAACACAAGCAATGGACATTAGACCGGAGTCCAAATTTGAGATTTTTGGTTCCAACCGCAGTGTCTTTGTAGGGATGGTATTCTTCTTTGTGAGACGCAGAGTAGGTGAACGGATTATCTCCGCATGTGTATTTCCCACCGTGAAGCATGGAGGAGGAGGTGTGATGGTGTGGGGGTGCTTTGCTGGTGACACTGTCAGTGATTTATTTAGAGTTCAAGGCACATTTAACCAGGATGGCTACCACAGCATTCTGCAGCGATACGCCATCCCATCTGGTTTGCACTTAGTGGGACTATCATTTGTTTATCAACAGGACAATGACCCAAAACACACCTCCAGGCTCTGTAAGGGCTATTTGACCAAGAAGGAGAGTGATGGAGTGCTGCATCAGATGACCTGGCCTCCACAATCACCCAACCTCAACCCAATTGAGATGGTTTGGGATGAGTTGGACCGCAGAGTGAAGGAAAAGCAGCCAACAAGTGCTCAACATATGTGGGAATTCCTTCATGACGGTTGGTAAAGCATTCCAGGTGAAGCTGATTGAGAGAATGCCAAGAGTGTGCAAAGCTGTCATCAATGCAAAGGGTGGCTATTTGAAGAATCTCAAATATTTAATATATTTTGATTTGTTTAACACATTTTTGGTTACTACATGATTCCATATGTGTTATTTCATAGTTTTGATGTCTTCACTATTATTCTACAATGTAGAAAATAGTACAAATAAAGAAAAACCCTTGAATGAGTAGGTGTGTCCAAACTTTTGACTGGTACTGTATGTAAATAAGGTATTTATTTCATTTTAAAAAATTTAATTTTGACAAAATCTATAAAAACCTGTTTTCACTTTGTCATTATGGGGTATTGTGTGTAGATTGATGAGGAACATTCTTAATTTAATATGTTTTAAAATAAGGCTGTAACATAACAAAATGTGGAAAAAGTCAGGGGGTCTGAATATTTTCCCAATGCACTGTATGTTTTTTGAATGTCATTATCCTGTCCAGTTTCAGGGGCTTCAGGGGGCAAAGGAGACTGTGTTGGTCTCCAACAGTAGATTAGCAGAGACTAGTCTCTCTCATGAACCAGAGATCAGTACTGGTAAGCTATGGTTAGCCAAGAAGTACCAGGAACTGGAGAAACTCACCAATATCATCCAAGCCAAACAGAACCAACTTGGTGAGTTTGAAAGTCAAATTGTTGTATATTTTTCTGGGGAACATCAAAGTTCCAGAATGCTTGCCATTTTCTCCAACTGCTTCTGCAATTGTTTCAGTTAGTCACAACTGTGTTTATGCCACTTTCATTATACAAATCTACTGTTGCCTTTCTAGTAGTTTTACTAGAGAAACGTAGCCTTCACATGGTCCAGTGGCTTCTCCTGAACAAGCTGGCCCACTCTGAAGAAGAATGTGAGGTAAGGCTGGACTAATTGTGTAACACAAATTATCAATTAAGCAATCATATTAATATCCTATTTGAGTGTAATAGTAGACTATACCAAACATTTGGTGTCTTTCTATCTTATAGGCTCTCTCACAGAAATTCACAGATGGGAAAATATCCCTGGAGCATTTTGTGGAGTCCTGTCAAAGATCTTGTAAGGTCTACCATATCCGTCTGGTTCAGGCAGAGAAAATCCAAGAGTTTATCAAGCCTGAACACAAACCCCAAAGGCCCACTGAGAATCATAATAGTAGGGAGCCATCAGTTGACTTCCCCCTGAGCCCCCATCCCAATATCTGCCATGTTTTCTATGGCCTCACCCCTGCTATTATTCTGCCTAACGTCTACCACTCCGTCAGCTCTGCTCCAGTCCACTGCCGGATGGGTCCATATCTACCGCCCCTGAGTGACCACATCATCAACAGTGCTCAATTTATGAGGCCTGTAGCCTCACACTTTGACACTGGCCAACCTGTAGGCCTTAGAGTGTATGGAAAGGGACATGCTCCCAGGTGGCCAGCCAGGCCTGTACGTCTGCAGCGACTCAACAATATACAGCCCAGACATCATCAGCAGTACCCACCCCCGCATTGACACTGTGGGTAGAAAGGGCATCAACTGTTACTCTGGACTATAATTAATTTGTGTACTTTATGATTGTGTCTGTAAAACAGCACCACACATTTGAAACAAGTTGATTGAAAATTGATTGACAAAAGAAACAAGTTGATTAAGAAGGTTGAATAAACACAACACATTGTGGGGTTTGTTTTATATCCAGGCTCCCCTCATGTCATTGTAACATCATACTGTAGGTATCAATGGTTTCTTGGGTTAGGAAAACCCTGAACTCACTGTGCCTCAGTGCAGTGGGTCACAAGGTGAACTTGAACGGTTCACCTAGCTACACTTGATAGCTCAGATCATCCTCTCTCCACAGAGACTATTTCTAAGGTCAGCCAAGGACCACGTCTGGAACTGTCAAACTGCCAGCTTCTTCAAGCCTCAAAATTACACATGTTCACTATACTTTTTATTACATCCAAACCGAATGTTGATTAATTGTTCTGAAAATTCATAATGAAAGCACAGTTGCCTGATTCCATTGAATGACTAACACTCTGCCTACAATACTCAGTGGCTGTCATTTGTTCCCCCAGTTATGTGGATCACCAGACCAAGGATTCGCCTGATCAGCCATAGGTTTAGCCAGACTGCCATCTAGCCTAATCAAGCTCACTGCACTAATTAGCTGTCAGTGAGAGGCCAGTGAGTTTACAGGAGCTGATTAGTGATGCGGTGGATGTGAAGGCCTTTGTCAGACAGCTTACTTCTGTTACAGCTATGTCAGCAGCCCCTATTGTCCTAAGCGGCTCAAATTGGGCAATTTTCTCATCTGTCAGCTAATCATCATGCGCCTGTCAACTCCATATCTCTGTGTCTCTCCTTTCTTGGTTGAAGTTAATGGGCTCCAGTTATTTTATTTCAATAGGTGAGCACTAGATACAATTCGCAGGCCACAAATGACCCTACAAATGATCACAATTACTAAAGGAGTTTAGATTTAATAACACTATCCCAGCACTGAAAGGTATCTGAAAGGAACCTCTTCAATGCACAGCAGTACCAAATAAGGCTATCACTCAGGAATACATCTTCATGAGGGTGTTTATATTTCCTTCCTAGAACAACTAGCAATGTGTATAGGGATTATGGGGTATCTGTGTCACTATCCGTTGGTATAGTAGGTATTGGGTGACTCTTAGAGGGGTTTAATTGTGTAAGAATACATGTGGGGCAGCTTTGGCTGACCTAGTTCTGTGAACGTTCTCTAACTAACAAGCACCTGTGGGCTGCATTCCAAATGGCACCCTATTCCCCATGGGCCCTGGTCAAAAGTAGTGCACCCCTGCACATCGACTCAGTACTGGTACTCCCTGTATATAGCCATGTTATTTATTTTTTACTTATGATTGTTATTCACTGTGTATTTATTCCTTGTGTCACTATTTCTATTTTTATCTTTAACTCTGCATTGTTGGAAAAGGACCCGTAAGTAAGCATTTCACTGTTAGTCTACGCCTGTTGTTTACTAAGTATGTGACAAATAAATGTGATTTGAATAGGGAATACGGTGTCATTTGGGACTCACATCTGAACACTAAGCAGAAAAAGGCTACCACAGACAATCATTCTGAAATTCAGTAATTTTACTAATAATAAATAATATTTTACTCCTAAAATAGCATAACAGGACATAATAAATAATATATTTAGGACATAATTATTTTGGACTCTTCAAGGCTTGGTCCAAACTTGCAGTTACTGCATACCAACAGTAATAAAGTAATATCAAACAACTTCACATACAGTAGTAACATGCACAGTACCACCTCCTTATCTAAAAGTTAATGGTTATGGCATTGCTTACTAGAATGTTGGATTATTTGTTATGAATACAAAACCACCAGGATTAGGCATTAAACAAAACTATTTTTTGATATTTAAGTTCTCATACCTTACAAATATGCATTATAAATAACACAACTTAAATAACATTTGATGGTCACATTATGCACCTTATCGACCAGCGAGGAAGCATAATACATCATCCCTAACCTAAACTAGCTAGATAAACCACTCTATCAATAGTCAGGCCATTCATTCCATTATTGAGTCACAAAGTTGTATCAATAGTCTCTGTGTGTGGCCAATGGTCTCTGTCTGGTACCAGGCGTCATGGAGACGCGTATGGTCACACATCCCTGCAGGGGGCGTACTTTCCTGTACAGAGGTCAGACTCGTAGCCTGAGTGCCAGTCTGTTTGTGCTATCATGCCAACTCCTTGTCACTCATTGTCAAGGCTTGACAAGGACATCAATGGAGTTGGCAAGAGCACAAACAGATCTGGGACCAGGCTAATACTTGTGTGGTTCCTCCTTTAGATGAAGATGTGCTCTGCCTATACACGCGGTCATGGCTTTGAACATCATAGTCAGTAAGAGAAATCCACATAGCAGTCTGTCAGGATGAGACAGGTTAGATAGGAGACTCCCAGGACTGCTGAGCTCTCATCACATGTATCTTGATTTGCTCATATGTGACAAACATTACGATGTTCCAGGAGCCAAGGCGAAGGAAAGAAGGCATGAACCTGGAGGGGAAGGAGAATCAGATTATTTAACTAAGCAGAACGATTTCCTTAATTCACTGTTCATATCTAGGAATGATCTTGATTCAGCCAAAGATGATTTGAAAGCAATTTGTATTTAGAAATGTGGCTTTTGATTACTACACACCCTTTATAGAAGGCTTTGGGTCCCTCGTTTCTCATCATCGTAATAGCACAGTTAATAGCGCTGTTGTATTTTCCAGCTGAACTGTTCATGAACCGGGTCTTCACTACATCTACAGGAGACGCCACAATAGTGGTGATGAAACCAGCACTGAAGGCTGCCGTGAAATGGCAGGGCAGGTTATCTGTAATAAAAAATAAATACAAAAATTACTTAATATACACTTTCAAGTACTTGTAACTATTCAAATGTACCCCGTGTAGGTGTAAAACAAATCACATGCCTGCTTACCAGTCATGATGTTATACTTCAGGATAAGTTCCTTGATGATGTCATAAGTCACCAGCTCCGAACAATTCACTATGGCGTTACGAGTTATGTTTGGGCCGCAACCTGGAAGATACATTTTAAATGAAACTGTTAATTATAACTACAGAATCATCTTTTTATGCATGTAAAGCAAATGTAATATTCCTATTTGGACTGAAATTCAGACTGCATTAGGCCTACCCTTCCAGAGCCCTCTGATGCCCTCAGTCCTGGCGATGGTCCTGTAGGCATCCATGGTGCCGTTATATCTCTTCACCCCCTCCCCTTCTGCTCCCCTGATTTGAGCCTGGAACCGCACTTTCACCACATCTGTTGGCTGAGCAAAGGCTACTGCCATGGCCCCGGTTGTACAGCCTGCCATCAGCCGACTCCCAATGCCTGCATCTATGAGAGTAGAGGAGTAGCGAGGATGAGAGATGCAGTCATAAAACACCAAGACACATTCTTTCAGCCACATTCATGATCTTCTACTTCCACTAACTCAGATAAAAATGTGATTGAGAGATAAATAAACTGGTATTTTATACTGAAAATGTCTGTTAGGAGGTAACGTACTGTCTGTTCCCCGGGTGTAGAACTGCTTCATGGAGTCATAGAGGCCGATGCGGACCGAGGCGAAGCTCATCTGTCTCTGGAGACCCGCCACCAGGCCGTTGTAGAGGCTCCTGGGCCCCTCTGTTTTCACCATGGTATTGATGGTGCCAAACACACCTCTGTACTTCACCACCATCTTCCCTTCAGAGGACTTGGACTCGCCCTGGATCTAAGAAAGACAAACACAAGTCTTCATTCATCTTTGTATTGAAAGTAATCCTAGTGACACAATTCAATCAAGACAGAATACCTTTACATAATCATTATGTAAAGCATGGCTACATTGCAATGACCATACTAGCATACCACTTAAGAGTACATGTCCAATACATTGCGTCATTCTAAATAGTATACTAGTGTAGATAATTGAACAGAAACCTTTCCTTACTTTTTTTTGCATAATCATGGTTATAAAATCACTGTACTGTATGTAAAGCATATGCACCCTCTCACCTGCAACCTAACTTTAGCTGTGTCCAAGGGGAAGGTGATCAAGTCAGCAATACAGGCTGCAGTTCCAGCTCCAAAGAACTTAACAGCTGCTGTAGGGGCCAAGTCTGTGGGCTTCACTCCAACCATGACTGAGATGGTGCAGATAATCTCCCAAAGAAAGAGAGTACTGAAGGTCTTACAAGTACAGTAGATAAACTGTAGTTTAATAGGTTCTGTCCGTTCCTAAGGAGAATAAAGCAAATTGTAAGTAATCTGTCAATCAGAATGAATCAAACAACAAATAAAGATGGCTTTTTGGTCAGTATTCATTGAATGATTATTGTAAACAGCCCAAATCACACTTACTTGGACAGATGCAAGGGATATTCAAGTTTCAGGTATTGTAAAGTTGTCTTTATGAATGTAAGATCCTCTTGTCTTTTGTTGTTCCATAAAATTGCTCCAAAAAAGCATACCACTGCCTGTGAAACATATGAATAAGAAACAAATATGAAGAAAAAAATACTTTGGCATGCCCTAAAGCATGTGTAAAAATTTAAATAAGCTTTTAAAATGTGTATCACAATCTCAAATTCTAAATTAAAACGGTAGATAAATGTTAAGCAGACAGGCAAAATGGATATTGAACAAACTAGCAATGAAACAAAAAATTATGGTATAACATTAGGCTTACCTGATTGGAATTTAAAAAAAGTACTGTAATCCCAAATTTGAATTGAGAGGTTCTGTTCTATTGAGGAGCACTGCTTTTTGAGAGTTAGGATTTGATTCTCACGCCCAGGGGTCGGTGTGGGTTATTATAGCCTGCCCGTCCCTTGTCACACATAGTTCCATGACATAAGTTGACCTGAAAAGTATGCGTAAGCCCGAGTAGTACATGAGATATGTTGGCACATGGCTGGCTCAATGATTTGTCAAGTATCCGAAGACAGTGATCCAATTTTGTTATCGATTCAAACCAAGTGATGAGTCAAGATCCCACACTTTCAACTGCATTTAGTTTTTCTTTTTTTGGTAAAAAAACATTACTCCAAAAATGTTTTTGAATAATGATAACAAAAAGGTTCATATGAACTATTTCTCCCTTTTGGGAGTATAATAAACTATGCAAAATTATGTCCGTCAGTTTCACAGATCACAACAGTCAATGTTCTGTTGAACATTAAAAAAACATATGCATTTAATTATATCTGTCAAAAAAATGCAGGATACATAATTTATTATGTAATTGGTATCTTCAGTAACACTGACCAACCAATAAGCAAGATACAGTAGAAGTAAAGGTCTTACATCCAATTAATGTAATTTGCAGCAGGGAGCCAAGGCAATAAGACTAGTTGAAATAGCATAGACCCAAATTAGACTTTATAATAATGATGTAACACTCCATAATAGTGGTGTGGCCACCCATCCACTCAGCCAATCCATACATGTCCCTGAGAGGCTGGGTGCCTGAGCTAGTACATGTTTACACAGTCAGAAGTTCCTACAGTCTCTGGTATCAGGAACAGAAGTGGCTCTTGAATAGTGTGTGACTGCCTGGTGACGCAGAGCATAGAACACTAGCCCCCTAACCCTGACACATGCTGAAATCCAAACATCACTTTAAGAACAAACTGTTCATCACTTTGTTGGAAAAACAACTGGACAGGTGTGTCAATATTTGATATTCTGTACTTGACAAAGTGTTTTCCCCTGTGACAATAATCCTTAAAAGGCTATGGGAGTCTCCCACATCAGTGATCATGGGTGCACACAGTAATAATAAAATATAAACAAAACATCAGTTACACTGGCAAACCATTTAATTTATAAAAACAATAGAAAAACTGTATTTAAATTAAATGTACATATTCTTTACATGAGCAGCCACTTTTGTAATCAAGATGTGTGGTCATTCACATACCTTTAGAAAACATACACCCAACCGTATATATAGCATGACACACAATATCAAATAGCATTAGAGAAAGTGCTAATGTTTGTCCTTAAAATGAGATGCAAATATATTTGCTATTCTCATGGTCTCTTCTCTCTTCATGGACGATGGTGGGATATTGGTCCTGGGATGAGGAACGTGCCAAGAGAGAATCCCATGTCTAAGAGAGCTCTCGTTCTGGAAAGAAATAGATTAAATCAATTGTTTAGCATCGAACCTGGTCTATTCTTCTGAGTTTGCAAGCAAACAACATTCATCATTAAGCTTTAAATGGAGATACTGGGAAATAAAAAAAACATGATAATGCAAATATTTAAATGTCTACCATTGTGTGTTAATAAGTCAGTCCTTTCTCCATCAAAAGGAACCAGCCCCACATTGGTCAAATAAGTACAAATATGTGATCAATCACGCTGAGCTCTACTCTTAAAAGGGCTGGTCAGATGTTTGTTTTAATATTAGCACAGAGTGACTAGCTGGAACCAGTTTACTTTAGCATTGAGAGTGAGTAGCTGGAACCAGTTTTCTATTACATGTCCTGTGAACTCTGTAGTCCCACTGCATGATAAACAACTGTACCTTCACACCCCCTTCTTGAAACTGGATACATGCCAGTCTGACGCAGGGGACTGGACAGGCAGGCATACCTCTCTATCGCCACAGTTGAACTGAGTTACGAGCCAAACCCTAATGATTATTCTCATTAGAACAACAACTCCGGAGCTATTAATGATAAAAGATAAGACACATGTTGATTTCTCACAAAAAATAAGGCCTGAATCTCCCATAGCCAGACTGCCCAGTGTGTAACCACACAAGACAGATATCAGCCGAGTGACTGTGACCCCACAGTTAAAGGTCAACACAATGTTGAGATGGAAAGACACTCAGGGATTCTCATTTTATGATATTCCAGCCAATGGCGTGCAGCGCACCCTGAGTCTGGTGTCTCTCCCTCTTTCTAGAGATGAGCCTAACGGTTATTTTCTCCTTAGCTCAATAGCAATGAAAACCATTTGAGAGAGACCACCCCACTGCTAAAGAGTGGGTCAATCCTCAGGGCAGAAAGGACAGTTCCTCTCATGATAAAAACCCTCACCTCAGACCTACAGTGGGGAAAACAAGTATTTGATACACTGCCGATTTTGCAGGTTTTCCTACTTACAAAGCATGTAGAGGTCTGTAATTTTTATCATAGGTACACTTCAACTGTGAGAGACGGAATCTAAAACAAAAATCCAGAAAATCACATTGTATGATTTTTAAGTAATTAATTTGCATTTTATTGCATGACATACGTATTTGATACATCAGAAAAGCAGAACTTAATATTTGGTACAGAAACCTTTGTTTGCAATTACAGAGATCATACGTTTCCTGTAGGTCTTGACCAGGTTTGCACACACTGCAGCAGAGATTTTGGCCCACTCCTCCATACAGACCTTCTCCAGATCCTTCAGGTTTCGGAGCTGTCGCTGGGCAATACAGACTTTCAGCTCCCTCCAAAGATTTTCTATTGGGTTCAGGTCTGGAGACTGGCTAGGCCACTCCAGGACCTTGAGATGCTTCTTACGGAGCCACTCCTTAGTTGCCCTGGCTGTGTGTTTCGGGTCGTTGTCATGCTGGAAGACCCAGCCACGACCCATCTTCAATGCTCTTACTGAGGGAAGGAGGTTGTTGGCCAAGATCTCGCGAAACATGGCCCCATCCATCCTCCCCTCAATACGGTGCAGTCGTCCTGTCCCCTTTGCAGAAAAGCATCCCCAAAGAATGATGTTTCCACCTCCATGCTTCACGGTTGGGATGGTGTTCTTGGGGTTGTACTCATCCTTCTTCTTCCTCCAAACACGGCGAGTGGAGTTTAGACCAAAAAGCTCTATTTTTGTCTCATCAGACCACATGACCTTCTCCCATTCCTCCTCTGGATCATCCAGATGGTCATTTGCAAACTTCAGACGGGCCTGGACATGCGCTGGCTTGAGCAGGGGGACCTTGCGTGCGCTGCAGGATTTTAATCCATGACGGCGTAGTGTGTTACTAATGGTTTTCTTTGAGACTGTGGTCCCAGCTCTCTTCAGGTCATTGACCAGGTCCTGCCGTGTAGTTCTGGGCTGATCCCTCACCTTCCTCATGATCATTGATGCCCCACGAGATGAGATCTTGCATGGAGCCCCAGACCGAGGGTGATTGACCGTCATCTTGAACTTCTTCCATTTTCTAATAATTGTGCCAACAGTTGTTGCCTTCTCACCAAGCTGCTTGCCTATTGTCCTGTAGCCCATCCCAGCCTTGTGCAGGTCTACAATTCTATCCCTGATGTCCTTACACAGCTCTCTGGTCTTGGCCATTGTGGAGAGGTTGGAGTCTGTTTGATTGAGTGTGTGGACAGGTGTCTTTTATACAGGTAACGAGTTCAAACAGGTGCAGTTAATACAGGTAATGAGTGGAGAACAGGAGGGCTTCTTAAAGAAAAACTAACAGGTCTGTGAGAGCCGGAATTCTTACTGGTTGGTAGGTGATCAAATACTTATGTCATGCAATAAAAAGCAAATTAATTACTTAAAAATCATGCAATGTGATTTTCTGGATTTTTGTTTTAGATTCCGTCTCTCACAGTTGAAGTGTACCTATGATAAAAATGACAGACCTCTACATGCTTTGTAAGTAGGAAAATCTGCAAAATCGGCAGTGTATCAAATACTTGTTCTCTCCCCTGTATATTTGAAGGCAGGCGGTGACCTCATACTCCTAGCTGCTGCACTGGCTCAGTTCTTGCAGTCACTAGACTGGTCTAGACTGGTGCACTCTGTGTGACTCCTATACTGACCCCCTTTACTCGCCTAGAGCCAAGCTGGACGAGGAATGGCACATAGTGACCTACTAGTAACTCTGTCCTTTGGCATTGGTATGAGAGGATATTGGCACTGGAAGATGATGACTTGGCAACTTCAAGACTGTAGAGCAACGCTGCCGGTTTCCTCATTAGTCAGCAGTGGGCTCCATACAATGCCTGATAGAATGAATGACTCAATATTCTGTAACCCATGGCTCGTAATGCAACGAGAGTGAATAAGTCTTACGATCATCTTACATAGTGGAATTTGCTACTACTCTACATTTTTATCTGTGTGACCGTTACTCATGTCTAGACTTCCAGAAACCTGCTATACCAGTAGAACTCAGTTCAAAGGGGATTGAGGCAGCGAGAGAAAGATGGTAGAGGGCTGATACTTACTGGGTCAGAAGAGGCAAGGGGGAAGATTGGTGCTATGCGTAGAGCTCTCATAGAAGCCTCCATGTGGTGAGATGAGAGGAAGAAATGAGGGATCTCCACAGGGTCAGCGCTGGACAAGAGGCAGTTAAGGAACAAGCAAAAACCAAGCATGCAGGTACTGTACTTATTCTTGGGTCCATGTTAAAACTGTAAACACTACATCAATGAAAATCAGCTAAAGCTAAACAGATAGAATAACATAAAGAGAGGCAAGTAAACAACGCTGACAATGTAAGGATACTGTTTCTCTGTGTAGGAATGTTTCTGGCTGATATGCGTCAGATGTGCCAACGACATGTTCTGTGTCATCTTCTTAGAAAGCAGCTGTGTCGTGCAACAACCCGGGGGTCTCATCCTCTGACAAAGCATCTCTGTCACCAGGAACCCTGCTACCAGTCTCTCCACTGCACAATAAGGACTCATGTAGAGGAGCAGTGATGGTCTCCTGATGTAGTGCTGCCTCATGGTCAGAGGTTTGGAGTGTCCTCTCACCATCTCTCACAGTGTCTGCCTCCTCGTCTGTGTCTGGTCCTTGAGAGAACATGTTGCCCCCTCTCCTCTAGTCTGCTGCCTATGGGCTCATCAGAGCTCCAAGCCTTCAGGGTGTCATTCTGCAGACCTAACCTCTCCCTCTCCTGTTGGGTGAGGCTGGGCTGGTAGGAGTAGTCTGAGGCTTGGTGCTCCTCTGGTGCCGCCAGAGTCTCCAGAGAGCCCAGGTCTTGGTCTGACAGCAGGCTGGACACAGGGCTGGTTCTGTCTGTTAGAGATGTGGCCTCATTCAGAGGCCTGGGCTCCACCACTGTCTCCTCATAACCTCCATCGTCCTCCTCCTCCTCTCTGGGACCTCTTCAGAGGCAGGGGTCTTGTCCTCCTCCTGCTCTTCATCAGCCTGAGAATCATCATGTTCCTGAGACATACTTGGTACAGGTGAAGGGACAGGAGAAATGTCCTCCTGGGGGGAGCCGGATGCTTTGTGGGAACATAGAGCACTCTGGGGGAATGTTTCAGAGCCCTCAGGCAGAAGGTGGTCATCTGGAACAGGGGGAGTTGTTGAGCTGGTCTGGGGGCTAGAAGGTATCGTCTCCATGCGATGATGTCCCTGTAGACTTGGAGAAAGGAGAGGGATGTGTTGAGTGGCCTGACTGTAATAATAGTATAATAATAATAATGTATCAACAAGGCAATCCCCAAGACTTAGACATTAAGTAACATATTTTGGACACCCTTTGAATAGGTATGTGTCCCAAATCGCACCCTATTCCCTATATAGTGCACTACTTTTGAACAGAGCCCTATGGGAATAAGGTGCCATTTGGGACCGATTAGGAGATGTGAAAGCATCTCACCACTGATGAGGTTGTTAACCTCCCCAACCTGGCACTAGCTATTGAAGTCAGTGATGTTGTACCAGCCACACAGTGACTGGAAACCTGACAGGAGAAGGGACAGGTCCACTGAGGAAAACCCAATCACCCGCTCCATATCTAACAAGGCAAGACACAGCACCATTGAAGAAGTGCATTCCACATATTAAAACAACATTAACTTTATCCCCTTCAAGAATTGTTGGCTGTTAGCTAGAGTATTATTGTGTGTTACTACATTGCTGTACTGTACCTCCAAGGGACTGTTGTGGATCAAGAAGTAGCTGCTTTGACATCCTGTGATTATCAAACAGTAGATCAGTTCATCATGACATGGTCTGACAGAGGTCATTCTCAACTAAGCTGGTTCCAATAATCTCATCAACACATTTGTTCATAATCATCCAAACATTCAATAATATGGATTGGTAACCATTACATCTTTGGGCCCATTAAACCTGAATATTACATAAACAGTATGTGTTGTCTAAACATCTGAAGTAAGCTATAGATGGTACAAAGGTAGTCTACCTGCACTCCTGCTGGTGGTCCCAGATGGGGCAGTGACTGTCTGCTATGAGAGCTGTGGTGACTGGTAGGACACACAACATCTAGGCAGCCCTCCACTACGCTCAGCTAGAGGACAGCCTGCCAAGGAGACAACACAACACTCACAACCATCAACAAGGTGTTAAAGGACACAATCAATATGGATGACCCTACTGGAAGGATGCGTCCCAAATGGCACCCTATTCCCTATTTGTGCACTACTTTTAACCAGAGCCCTTGTCTATGTGTACCTTTAAGACTGAGGTGCATGGCTCTGTCCTCAGTGATGGTGACAGTGTGTCCTCCATGCTGACCTCAGAGGGCTGTGAAGGCTCTACACTCATGGAGGACCTGGTCTGGTGCCTGCTGGGTGCTCCAGACTGTCTGGACACAGCTGCTGTGGATAAGAGGCCTCCCTGCCCTCCCTCCTCCTCATCCTCTCCCTGGCTGTCACATTCCTCCTGGTCCTGGCTGTCCCCTCCTCCTCATCCTCTCCCTGGCTGTCACATTCCTCCTGGTCCTGGCTGTCCCCTCCTCCAGGTGTGTGCTCCTCTGGGAGGGATCCAGGGGTCAGGGTGATGTGGACCCTCAGGGCAGCTCCACTCAGATCTGGGGCGGTGCGCCTGAACAGGGGGTACACACCTACACAAACAAAACACAGGTGTGTTACTGATGACCCTTATGTAACATAATACAACATAGCATTTAAAAGACTAGATAGTCATTGATTAGTTTGAGGTCATCACTGACTGTTATTTATATCAGTACTATTTCTCTATTTACCTCTGCTAGTGTCCTTGGGTATCTTGAAAGGAGCAAATACAATGTATTATTTTTTTATTAAATGTATTATTAGATTACGTACCACTGAGAGTCAGCTTGTGCCTTGCCCTCTTGGCCAGGGAGGAGAGGTCCATGAAGGCTGAACCCACCAGCCGGTCCATGTCACGAGGCCTAGGTCTCCTGTCCTTCCCAAAGGACACCCACACCTGCACCTCCAGCCTCTCCTCCCAGAGGTACCACAGCAGGGGCTGGCTGCTCCTCAGCTCCACTGTCCTGCTTCCTCTGAATGCCACCGTGGCCAGGCCCTCCTCCCCTCCACCTCCCTCCTCCTCCACAGCAAGGCAAAGGTGTCTGAGCTGGGAGCAGAAGGCCTCTGCGTCATAGAGATTATATCTGAAGTAGCAGTAGGTGGAGCGCTGCAGCACGCTGTGTCCAGGCAGGACGAGACAGTGGACTGGCAGCCAGGCTCTGGGCATGGACACGGCCAGGGACACAGTCCTCCGAGTCTCAGCCCACGCCTCTCCCTCACTGGCGTGCTCCTCCTCCTGCTCCTCCACCCGTTCCTCCCTGCCCACCTCCCAGCCGGCAGTGATGACCCTCTCTCTATCTGCATGGTGGGCAAAGTTGATGGAGATGTCCACGCCGCTCACTAAGATGTGATGGCTGGGAGATGATGAGGTCAGGTCTTGAGGCAGAGACACTCCAAACCACCCACGGATCCCAGGGGTTTTAGACTGGGTTTCTGTATAAACACTTTGTGACAACTGCTGATGTAAAAGGGCTTTATAAATACATTTGATTGAGTGTTACGTTAGGAAAATGATGAGCAAACTGTGAAATTTGATTTTATAACATTACATAACATTTCCTTGACTGTAATATACGACTTGTAGGATCGAGTACTTGAGCTGCAGTGAACCAATTATTATGTAAATAGGATATACAGTTGAAGTCGGAAGTTTACATACACTTAGGTTGGAGTCATCAAAACTCGTTTTTCAACCACTCCACAAATTTCTTGTTAACAAACTATAGTTTTGGCAAGTCGGTTAGGACATCTACTTTGTGCATGACACAAGTAATTTTTCCAACAATTGCTTACAGACAGATTATTTCAATTATAATTCACTGTATCACAATTCCAGTGGGTCAGAAGTTTACATACACTAAATTGACTGTGCCTTTAAACAGCTTGGAAAATTCCAGAAAATGATGTCATGGCTTTAGAAGCTTGATAGGCTAATTGACATAATTTGAGTCAATTGGAGGTGTACCTGTGGATGTATTTCAAGGCCTACCTTCAAACTCAGTGCCTCTTTGCTTGACATCATAGGAAAATCTAAAGAAATCAGCCAAGAACTCAGAAAAATAATTGTAGACCTCCACAAGTCTGGTTCATCCTTCATAGCAACGCCCGAAGGTACCACGTTCATCTGTACAAACAATAGTACGCAAGTATAAACACCATGGGACCACGCAGCCGTCATACCGCTCAGGAAGGAGACGCATTCTGTCTCCTAGAGATGAACGTACTTTGGTGCGAAAAGTGCAAATAAATCCAAGAACAACAGCAAAGGACCTTGTGAAGATGCTGGAGGAAACAGGTACAAAAGTATCTATATCCACAGTTAAACGAGTCCTATATCGACATAACCTGAAAGGCCACTCAGCAAGGAAGAAGCCACTGCTCCAAAACCGCCATAAAAAAGCCAGACAACAGTTTGCAACTGCACATGGGGACAAAGATCGTACTTTTTGGAGAAATGTCCTCTGGTCTGATGAAACAAACATAGAACTGTTTGGCCATAATGACCATCGTTATGTTTGGAGGAAAAACGGGACGGCTTGCAAGCCGAAGAACACCATCCCAACCGTGAAGCACAGGGGTGGCAGCATCATGCTGTGGGGTTGCTTTGCTGCAGGAGGGACTGGTGCACTTCACAAAATAGATAGCATCATGAGGAAGGAAAATTATGTGGATATATTGAAGCAACATCTCAAGACATCAGTCAGGAAGTTAAAGCTTGGTCGCAAATGGGTCTTCCAAATGGACAATGAACCCAAGCATACTTCCAAAGTTGTGGCAAAATGGTTTAAGGACAACAAAGTCAAGGTATTGGAGTGGCCATCACAAAGCCCTGACTTCAATCCTATAGAATATTTGTGGGCAGAACTGAAAAAGCGTGTTCGAGCAAGGAGGCCTACAAATCTGACTCAGTTACACCAGCTCTGTCAGGAGGAATGGGCCAAAATTCACCCAACTTATTGTGGGAAGCTTGTGGAAGGCTACCTGAAACGTTTGATCCAAGTTAAACAATTTAAAGGCAATGCTACCAAATTCTAATTGAGTGTATGTAAACTTCTGACCCACTGGGAATGTGATGAAATAAATAAAAGCTGAAATAAATCATTCTCTCTACTATTATTCTGACATTTCACATTCTTAAAATAAAGTGGTGATCCTAACTGACCTAAAACAGGGAATTGTTACTAGGATTAAATGTCAGGAATTGTGAAAAACTGAGTTTAAATGTATTTGGCTAAGGTGTATGTAAACTTCCGACTTCAACTGTATAGATAGAGATATATATATATATATATATATATTTATCCTTTTTTTTTTTTTTTTTTCTTTATTACTTTCTAACCCTACCACCCCTCCCTTAATGGGAGTAAACTAGCGAACAACAATGCTTAGGCCTCTACTTCCAGCTTATACATACTCTATACATTTTATGGACAGTCTATTTTACAATAGTTCTATTTTGTTTGTTTTTACTCCTGTCCTTCCTCTACCCTAAACCTCTCCCATCTATTTCTTGATTTCTATTTGCCATATCTTTCAAACTGTGCTCTTTCACTGTCACACTCTGGCTCTGGGGACTTTATATGTTGAGTCAGGGTGTGTAGATTCCGTGTGTTTTTGTGCTGTGTTTTAGTGTCTAGTTGTTCTATGTCTAGGTTGGCCTGAGTGACTCCCAATCAGAGGCAACGAGTGTCAGCTGTTTGCTGGTTGTCTCTGATTGGGAGCCATATTTAAACTGTCGGTTTTCCTTTGTGTTTTGTGGGTTCTTGTTTCGTGTTGGTTGTGTTTGACCGTTTACTGTCACGTTACCGTCTTTTGTTGTTTTGATCGCGTTTCACTAAATAAATGAGTATGTTTGCCTGCAACGCTGCGCCTTGGTCTACTCCTTACCCAGACGATCGTGACATTCACAAAAGTTCTTAACCTATAAACGTCTTACGGACCCAGTATGTTTTACATTAGTTATCTTGTTGTTATTAGCTGTTATTAGTCCCAACCTTCAGCTCCATTCAACCCCTCCCATCCATATTTTAACACCATCCATATTGGATTTCTATTTGCCATATATTTTTAACTGTGCTGTTTCACAAATGTTCTGAACCTTTCTATGCTCATTGTTTCTACAGATTGTAAATTGAAAATAAACATTTTTGCTAAAAGTATTACTATATTATTGATCGATTGACTATGACTTTTCAGATCACTCAGATACGACTGTTGTTTACAGTATTGGGTGAATAAACCCCATTGCAGCTGCTTCCTCACCCTTGCGACTGTCTCTATTCCAGACTGTGAAGACAGCTGTGGCCTCCTGCAGGAGCTAAGGCAGGCTGCAGGTCTCCCCAGAGCCCGTCTGGACCTGCATGAATCAATTAATGAATTAATGTTTTATTGTCCCATAGGGAAACTTGTGTGACAACAATACAGGCATTCATCTACATCATGTGAGCTCCATCACCTGCAGCTCACAGGGGAACTTAGTATGGTGGTCAGATTCTAGGCAGAAGGTCCTGGCGGCTACACAGGTACTGCGCCTCTCACTCGCAGGCAGGAAGTAGAGCTGGGCAGTAATGTACACGTTCACCCCAACATCAGCATAGTACTGGAACGTTTCATCTTGCTCTGACAAATCCCTGTGGGAGTGTATGTTTGTGAGAAACAAATTATTGAGTGTAGATGCCATCTATCACCAAACTTCACGTCACTTCCTGTTGAACGCAGAACGAGGGAGAGCTCGGTTTTGTTGTTTTGAAAGTGTATTAGAAAGTTCTTAGTAGCTAGCTAACTTTTTAGTTTGGATCCGCGACGCAGTTTGCATCAGTTGCTGAGACTGCTAGTCTCTGTCCAGTGATCCTGCCGTCCAAGGACGGGTCTGAGGAGCTATTTGGCGTAGCAGCTAGCGGGGTTCTCGAGGGCTTGAACACAGCCCGCAACGTGGTTAGCCATTGTGGCTGGGACCGCGGATTGTCCCAGGTTTGTGACTGTCTAGATCCCTGCTGTTTGTTGTTTTCAATCTTCCCTGTGACCTGCCCTGACTGGAACTGCGAGGAGTAACAGCGTAACCTACATTGCTAGCTACCATGACAAAGACCAAAGCCGGTGGGAGTACCGTTGAGGACAGTGGTGTCTCTCTATCACACGTGAAGGATCTTTTAAAACGAACAAAAATAGTTCTACAAGCAGTTGTTACAACAACAAGAAAACAGCTTCAAGTGTTTTGTCCAAATACTGGTGGATTAAACTAATAAAATAATGGATAACCCGACCAGAGGTCCAGGACCTGAAGAACAGTTTGCAGTTCTCCCAGGGTCAGTTCGATGAGTTGAAACAGGAGAACAGCAAGATGACAGCAATTTGTATGTCACTGAGAGAGGACATCAGTTCTGTGTGTGAATCCATGATAACAATGACGGATAAATCAGACTATCTCGAGGGACAATCAAGGCGGAACAAGATGGTTGTGGACGGAATTGCAGAATCTCCACGAGACCTGGACGGAGTCTGAGGACAAAGTGAGGGAAATGATCTCTGAGAAATTGAAGATGGACCACAGGAAGATTGAGGTGGAGCGTGCCCACCGGACTGGAAAACCCACCACCAGCCCAGGCCGATAGTGGTCAACTTCCTGAGGTTCAAGGACAAGGTAGCTGTACTGGAAAGAGCCAAGAACTTGAGAGGAACGTATATCTTCCTCAACGAGGACTATCCTGAAGCTGTGCGCCAGAAGAGGAAAGAACTTATCCCAGCCATGAAAGCTGCCAGAGCGTGTGGGGACATTGCTTACATCCGCTATGACAGGCTCATTGCCCACCCTCCAAAAATACCATAGTGCCCTTAGTTTTGTTACAGGTGACAGTTTTGATACTCATCACTGCATCCTGTACCAAAAGGTTGGCTGGACTTCGCTAAAGACCAGTAGATCTCTACATTACCACTTTTTTGTTTACAAGGCCCTAATTCATAAACTTGCATAACCCGTTCACAGGATTGCTTAACTCAAGGTTCCTACGTCTCCACCGAGCTAGGTAAATCTGCTTTTAGTTTTAATGCACCGTATTTCTGAAACAAAATTCAAACTACATTTAATCTTGATGTTTTAAAGTATTGATTGTGGACTTATTTGTGTATTAAAGTATTGATTGTGGACACATAACTGTGCTTTTGTATTTGAATGTGTGTATATACAGTGCATTCGGAAAGTATTCAGACCTCTTCACTTTTTGCACGTTTTCTTAGGTTACAGCCTTATTCTAACACACATTCTACACACAATACCCCATAATGACAAAGCGAAAACAGTTTTGACATTTTTGCAAATGTATTAAAAATAAAAAACAGAAATACCTTATTTACATAAGTATTCAGACCCTTTGCTATGAGACTTGAAATTGAGCTGAGGTGCATCCTGTTTCCATTGATCATCCTTGAGATGTTTCTACAACTTGATTGGAGTCCACCTGTGGTAAATCCAATTGATTGGACATGATTTGGAAAGGCACACACCTGTCTATATAAAGGTCCCACAGTTGACAGTGCATGTCAGAGCAAAAACCAAGCCATGAGGTCGAAGGAATTGTCCGTAGAGCTCCGAGACAGGATTGTGTCGAGGCACAGATCTGGCGAAGGGTACCAAAACAATTCTGCAGCATTGAACGTCCCCAAGAACACAGTGGCCTCCATCATTCTTAAAAATTGAAGAAGTTTGGAATCACCAAGACTCTTCCTAGAGCTCGCCGCCCGGCCAAACTGAGCAATCCGGGGGAGAAAGGCCTTGATCAGGGACGTGACCAAGAACCCGATGGAGTTACAGAGTTACTCTGTGGAGATGGGAGAACCTTCCAGAAGGACAACGATCTCTGCAGCACTCCACCAATCAGGCCTTTATGGTGGAGTGGCCAGACGGAAGCCACTCCTCAGTAAAAGGCACATGACAGCCCGCTTGGAGTTTGCCAAAAGGCACCTAAAGGACTCCCAGACCATGAGAAACAAGATTCTCTGGTCTGATGAAGCAAAGATTGAACTCTTTAGCCTGAATGCCAAGCGTCACGTCTGGAGGAAACCTGGCACCCTCCATACAGTGAAGCATTGTGGTGGCAGCATCATGCTGTGGGGATGTTTTTCAGCGGCAGGGACTGGGAGACTAGTCAGGATCGAGGGAAAGATGAACGGAGCAAAGTACAGAGAGATCCTTGATGAAGTCCTGAGCGCACTGGAGCAGGTTTTCAGACTTGGGTGAAGGTTCACCTTCCAACAGGACAACAGCCCTAACCACACAGCCAAGACACCCCAAATACAGGTGTACCTAGCTTGTAGCGTCATACCAAAGAAGACGTGAGGCTGTAATCGCTGCCAAAGGTGCTTCAACAAAGTACTGTGTAAAGGGTCTGAATACTTATGTAAATGTGATATTTCAGTTTTTTGCAAACATTTAAAAGAAACCTGTTTTTGCTTTGTCATTATGGGGTATTGTGTATAGATTGACGAGGGGGAAAAAAATGATTTAATCAATTTTAGAATAAGGCTGTAACATAACAAAATGTGTAAAAAGTCAAGGGGTCTGAATACTTTCCGAATGCACTGTATAGAACAAAGGTTGAGTTATAACAAGATATTTCAAACCCTTCCCTCACCTGAAGGACATGTAGAACTGGTGGAGGGGTAGTTTGACCAGCCCTTGGAGACGATCCTGCCCTGAGCTTCCTGCTCTCTGCCAAACCTCAATCACCATCACATTGTCCTCATCCTCTCTCCAGCAATCTCGAGGTCAAGGCCACAGGAGCCACCTGGAGAAACACGTATTTAAACTCAACATCTAACAAGCAGATAGAATCACATCATAAGGGCACCCTATTCCCTTTATAGTGCACTTCTTTTGACTAGGCTGAGGGCCCATTTGGGAGGGGTTTTCATCGCCTATGATATGAATACCCTTAGCCAGTGGAGGCTGGTGGGAGGAGCTATAGGAGGACAGGCTCATTGTAATGGGCTCACTGGAATGGAATCAAAGGAACGGTATTAAACATATGGAAACCACGTTTGACTCTGCTCCATTTATACCATTCCAATGAGCCCATCCTCCTATAGCTCCTCCCACCAGCCTTCTCTTCCCTTAGCAGCATCACACTGACTGGGTATAAAATTCTCAGTTCCTTCAGTTACCTGTATTAAATTAAACCACGGATTTGTCTGGCCCCAGCTGATCACTGATCTGGACGTCTCATCCTGGCCAAAGAGATAACAGTTCAGGTAGACATTAGGAGGCTGCATGGGTCCACAGTTAAAGTCCTTTCCATCAGGCACCATGAGCAAAGCATGCAGCAGAACCTCACTGTCCTCCTCCTCCTCCACCACCACCTGATGGGCCTGAGGTCTGTGAGATGTCTGGAGGCTGGTAAGAGGCGAGGGACCTTGTGGGACCATTAAAAAAAACATTTATGTGACTGAGTTTTGGTTCCTAGTACTCTTTTTATTTGTTTAATAATAATAATAATAATAATAATAATATGCCATTTAGCAGACGCTTTTATCCAAAGCGACTTACAGTCATGCATGCATACATTTTTTGTGTATGGGGTGGTCCCGGGGATCGAACCCACTACCTTGGCGTTACAAGCGCCGTGCTCTACCAGCTGAGCTACAGAGGAAAATGTATTGTATGCTACTACACACAAGGATTTGAGTTGAGCATGTTCTCTTCCTTTACTGACCCTGTGGGGCCACAGTTCTTATTCCCGTCCTGGAATCTCTATTAGTAACAGTAGATAGAGGGGTATCCTCCCCTCTAGGGTCCTGATGCTGAGGCCTAACGGTCATCGTGTCCACCCTGGAGGGGCTAGATTCTTTCTGGGGACTGGTCAGGGCACAGGAGGGAGCTCTGGAACCAGCTCCAGCTGATCTTTGACCATTGGCTGATGATAAATATTTGCTGTATGCAGCCAGTTCAAGTGACACCTGGAGAAACCAAGAGAGGGAGATTTATTGAGATGAGTAATATTCCAACTACACTCAACAACATGTCAAGAACCTCCTAAATATGATGAACGTAACAAAGGCTTTGTCCCAAATGGTACCCTATTCCCTATGTAATCCTATTCCCTATGGGCCCTGGTCAAAAGTACAGCACTATGAAGGGAATAGGGTGCCATTTGGGATGTAGACAAAATGGTGGACAGTGGCAGGCAGGCTCACCTTGAGGGGGCCGATGCCCTGGCTCTCACCAGTCCCCTGTAGACTCTGGAAAGGCAGAATGATAGTCTGACTCAACTGCTCCCTCTGCAGTAGACAGCGGAGGGGGAACACTGCCTTGCCAATGGCTACAGGCTGCAGAACACATCCATGAGCATTCAGGTGCAATATACCATCTACAGTGGGGGAAAAAAGTATTTAGTCAGCCACCAATTGTGCAAGTTCTCCCACTTAAAAAGATGAGAGAGACCTGTCATTTTCATCATAGGTACACGTCAACTATGACAGACAAAATGAGAAAAAAAAATCCAGAAAATCACATTGTAGGATTTTTAATGAATTTATTTGCAAATTATGGTGGAAAATAAGTATTTGGTCAATAACAAACGTTTCTCAATACTTTGTTATATACCCTTTGTTGGCAATGACACAGGTCAAACGTTTTCTGTAAGTCTTCACAAGGTTTTCACACACTGTTGCTGGTATTTTGGCCCATTCCTCCATGCAGATCTCCTCTAGAGCAGTGATGTTTTGGGGCTGTCGCTGGGCAACACAGACTTTCAACTCCCTCCAAAGATTTTCTATGGGGTTGAGATCTGGAGACTGGCTAGGCCACTCCAGGACCTTGAAATGCTTCTTACGAAGCCACTCCTTCGTTGCCCGGGCGGTGTGTTTGGGATCATTGTCATGCTGAAAGACCCAGCCACGTTTCATCTTCATGCTTCACAGTAGGTATGGTGTTCTTTGGATGCAACTCAGCATTTTTTGTCCTCCAAACACGACGAGTTGAGTTTTTACCAAAAAGTTATATTTTGGTTTCATCTGACCATATGACATTCTCCCAATCCTCTTCTGGATCATCCAAATGCACTCTAGCAAACTTCAGACGGGCCTGGACATGTACTGGCTTAAGCAGGGGGACACGTCTGGCACTGCAGGATTTGAGTCCCTGGCGGCGTAGTGTGTTACTGATGGTAGGCTTTGTTACTTTGGTCCCAGCTCTCTGCAGGTCATTCACTAGGTCCCCCCGTGTGGTTCTGGGATTTTTGCTCACCGCTCTTGTGATCATTTTGACCCCACGGGGTGAGATCTTGCGTGGAGCCCCAGATCGAGTGAGATTATCAGTGGTCTTGTATGTCTTCCATTTCCTAATAATTGCTCCCACAGTTGATTTCTTCAAACCAAGCTGCTTACCTATTGCAGATTCAGTCTTCCCAGCCTGGTGCAGGTCTACAATTTTGTTTCTGGTGTCCTTTGACAGCTCTTTGGTCTTGGCCATAGTGGAGTTTGGAGTGTGACTGTTTGAGGTTGTGGACAGGTGTCTTTTATACTGATAACAAGTTCAAACAGGTGCCATTAATACAGGTAACGAGTGGAGGACAGAGGCGCCTCTTAAAGAAGAAGTTACAGGTCTGTGAGAGCCAGAAATCTTGCTTGTTTGTAGGTGACCAAATACTTATTTTCCACCATAATTTGCAAATAAATTCATTAAAAATCCTACAATGTGGTTTTCTGGAAAATATTTTTTCAATTTGTCTGTCATAGTTGACGTGTACCTATGATGAAAATTACAGGCCTCTCTCATCTTTTTAAGTGGGAGAACTTGCACAATTGGTGGCTGACTAAATACTTTTTTCCCCCACTGTATATACTAGCTATACATACATAACTTGGGTAAAGCAGCAGAGACTTGGTTACTGTCATACAAGTGTCCACATACTTTCTTCTAGGAGCTTTTCCTGGAGTAGATGTTAAATGCGAGTTCTGTTCCCCACCACTGCTTAATAGTTGACCCACTGAAGTGGACATGAAACACACTGCACTGCTGGGAGTTCACCACTACAATGCAGAGTGAGACAGATATCTTTAACAAAACCTTCATGTTATCATTCCTAATAATGCACAATACAAAATGAAATATCAACCTGATAACGCTAAATAAATGTGTTTGTGTCCCAAATGGCACCAAAAGCAGTGCACTACAGTTGAAGTCGGAAATGTACATACACCTTAGCCAGGTTTGCCATGTCCGCTGTTTTCTGGCAAAATTGGGCTACATTGAAAACGACGTCGCGGGTGAAAATGTATTGGTCGCGGATTGCAGGTTTTTGAGCTACTTCTAAATTGCACTGCGGCTGCCATGGCATTATTTCACTTTGACTTGCTGCTGTTGACTATCAGGCAGTGAGGCAGCCTGTTACTGAGTGAGTGAGTGCGTGAGCGGTGGGGAGTTGTCTTAACCATTTGCGGTGGGGAGCGGTGGGGAGTTGTCTTAACCATTTGATTAGCTGTTCGGCAGTCTTATGGCTTGGGGGCAGAAGCTGTTAAGAAGCCTTTTGTACCTAGACTTGGCCTTCCTCTGACACCGCCTGCTATAGAGGTCCTGGATGGCAGGACGCTTGGCCCCAGTGATGTACTGGGCCTTCCGGAGACACTTGAAACCCTACCTTTTTAAGGAATACCTGGAATAGTATAAAGTAATCCTTCCTGATATGGGGAAAAGTCCACAATGAAACTGACATTGAATGTGGAGAGTGATACATCTGTTGGCCATTAAGTAGCCTATTAATTTATATGCCTATATAGGCTACTGTAGCCCACCATTTGATAAAATAAATATGTTGAAATTACGATATGACTGGGGTCATTGCAAATCAATTTGTACCACTTGTGTAGCATACCTGGAGCTGGCAAACGGATTTAATAAATAGCCTATAACTTCAGTTTATTGTTGATATAGCCTTATGTTATTATGCAATTATTAATGGCCATGTTTAGTTAATGAAATTGGAAGTTATCAATTGTGATCATGGTCACAGTTCTATCGTAATTGCCGATCAGCTGTTGTTAGAATTCATTAGATTTAAGGTAACAGTCAAACAGATTAGGCTACAGGTTAAAAAAAACACTGGCTGTTGTTGACAAGCATAGGCCTATTCAGTTCATATCCATATTATTAATATATGATTCAGTGATTGAAATTACTACGAAATCGCCTCACTATTCATGTTAAATAAATTAGTATTGTCAAAGTCGCGTCAATTCAAATCTGGTATCAGGAACAAAAGAGGTCAACACGACTTCTAAGATATACAAGTTATTTTAATTAATGCAAAAACCTTCAATGGTAAATATGATGTTTCGTATATACGGGCTCCTTGAAATACCTCGCAGGGCACTTCAGAGAACTAACACATTGTTTCAGATCCAATACTCAAATACTCTGACAGAGGGAATTTCCCACTTCTCTGCTGGCCAATTAGAGTAAAGGACTTGAGCGTGGTTTAAACTTACTCAGCCAATCCATTGATGCACCCCTGTTGCCAGCCTCTTCTGTTACCAGGCATACGTTCATAACAACCTGTCATAGTGAGAAGAGCCAGCTCCCTTAGACATCATTCCTACGTCCAAGGAAGGTTCACAGATCACAAAGAACCAGTATAGTCTAGCATTTGGAGACACAATCCTTATCTCATTTTACCCCCTAAAACAGCTCTTCGCATCAATCACAGCCTGCCAGGTGTCACAGCCTACATTAGCCCAGTCAAGAATGCATTCTTTCTAAGTTAGTCATCCCATCAATTTAGGAGAATAATAAATCCCCAATAGTATGTCAATTTGAACTAAGCAAGCTGCTAAATCGTTAATCTTACATCTTGCCTAGGCTACTGTAGGTTGTCAGGGGCTATAGGCTACCTGCATCTAGCTAACCAAACCATGGGAAAATTGAATTGCAATCATAAACCCAGAATTTAGCATATGCCTATTGAAATTACAAGGCAATCTCGCAAATAGGCCATTTATAACGGTTTGTAGTCTTAACACCTGGAACATAATAAAGGCACAATTGCCAGAAAATAGCCTAACATTCTTCTGAAGTTCGTCCAAGTGTTTCTTGCACAGAAATTTAGAGATCCTCAGTCCAACTTTCATCCCTCAAACTGTCCTGTTGGATTTAGCTATAGTAATGCACATGCGCATCAGGGATTTATTTAACAATCATAGCAGTCGAACGAGTTAAATCGACATCATTGATGGAAAATTATCTGGCGAGTTTAATAAGGGCGAATTATATTTTTTCTTGCGACATTCAAATTCCATTATTAGTCACGTTAGCTCGCAATAATTATTATTTTGATGGAAAACCGAATTTTGCATCTTACGTTACAAGTTACGTCGATATTCCTTCTTAATTCACTCGATAACATTACGGAAAAAGGGTTTATTGGCTAAATGTGGCAACTCCTCTCGCTTCGGGGAAAAACATTTGGGCTAGTTTTCAAGTTTTGTGAGCAGGTTTTGAGTAGTCAAATGTTAGCTAGACGGGCAACCCTGGGGGCGCTCAGTCTCTGGTTATGAATGGCGTGCTGACAGACAATCGTTGATGGATATTTATAGAGCTCTGATCAGAACGACAATTGATTACGGGTGTATAGTTTATGGAACAGAGGCAAATACTTTGCTTCAGAGGCTGGACAGAATCCAGTATATAGCTTTAAGGATATGTATTGTCGCAGTTAAATCAACATCTGTATGTGCCTTACTAGTGGAGGCAGGTGAGATGCCTTTGGATATATGGTGTAAAAAATTGGCATTAGCTTATTGGGTTAGGTTGAAAGGCTGTGAGGTTGAGCATCCCACTGCTACTGTTCTAGATGACTGTTGGGAATATACTAGTAGACAAGGCAGTGGTTTTGGTTGGACAGTTGGAAAGTTTGCTGATGAGAGCGGTTTGAGGGAGTTGGAGGTTGGCCCTTCTGTGGTGATAGGGGATGTTCCTCCGTGGTTACTCCCAGATCCTGTTGTTGATCTAACCTTGGTAGAGAAAAGGAAAGATTGGTCAAAAGTCAGTGATATAGGGAAACTGGTTGACAATTAAATTGGTAGAAGTTTCTACTTTTTACTGCTTTTCACAGATGGATCCAAGGACCCAGATAGTGGGAGTACAGGAGCAGGCGTTTACGTTCCTGAATTAGATTGGCAGATATGTAGAAGACTAACAGATGAACTGTCAGTATACTCAGTTGAAATGTTGGCGATAGTAGTTGCCCTCCAGTGGGTGGAGGACATACAACCTGTTAGAATTATAGTATGCTCAGATTCTCTCTCTGTATTGAATAGTTTATCATCTGGTAAATCTAATAGGAGTGATCTACTATTGGAGGTATTAATGTTATGGAGAATTGAGAGACTGGGTGTAGTAGTGAGATTCTGCTGGGTCCCAGCACATTCGGGTGTGGAAGGCAATTAAATTGTAGACCAGTTTGCCAAAAGAGCTTTGAAACTAGATATAATTTATATTAATGTTCCACTGGGTAGAGGTGAGGCCAAATGTGAAATCAGAGCCATTTTGATAGATGGAAGTCCTAATGACACAATTTCCCACAATGCACCACGGGACAACAGTGGCAGTTTTGGGATTAGAGGTGGGACTAGGGAAAAAAATTGCGTTAATGACGGCGAAAAGATGGCGGAAGCGGATGATGAAGTGGATTCTGAATCTAATGGCGGTAGAATCAAGGAGAATTTCAATATTGTCCAAAAGAAAGGAAAAAGGAGCAAAGTAGAGTACAGTGATGGGAATGTCACTTTGTATCTTGTAGGAGTACGGTTTGTAAATGAGGAACAGGGCACCCCTCAAGGGGGTTATATCTGGAGTCTCATGGGAAGTAGATGTTGAAGAGATGAAAAATATTCCTGGAGTGATTGATGCACGTCAGATGAATCATGTGGTGAATGAAGAAAAAGAGAAGAGTCTATCTGTTATTTTGTTTTTTGATATGGAGGTTCTCCCTACTTAAGTGCAGTTAGGGTATATTAACTACGGTGGAGTTGTCGACCGGTGGAAATGTGTCCTTTGGAGATTTTTGGTTCCAACCGCCGTGCATGTGTATTTCCCACCGTAAAGCATGGAGGAGGAGGTGTTATGGTGTGGGGGTGCTTTGCTGGTGACACTGTCTGTGATATATTTAGAATTCAAAGCACACTTAACCAGCATGGCTACCACAGCAGTCTGCAGCAAGAGAATGCCAAGAGAGTGCAAAGCTGTCATCAAGGCAAAGGGTGGCTATTTGAAGAATCTCAAATATAAAATATATTTTGATTTGTTTAACACTTTTTTGGTTAGTACATGATTCCATGTGTTATTTCATAGTTTTGATGTCTTCACTATTAATCTATAATGTAGAAAAATGTAAAAATAAAGAAAAACCCTGGAATGAGTAGGAATGTCCAAAATGTTGACTGGTACTGTAGGTCTTCTGCAACATGTCACATTTTCATCACTTTTATAACACATAATGTGATATTTTCAACAACTTGGACATCTCAGCTTCTCCATTCTGCAAACACTTGAAACATGACCAAAACCTTTACAATGATCACACTGCATTGGTCTTGGAATAAATCCTCTGACTCTGTAGTTAATATACCCTAACTGCACTTAAGTAGGGAGAACCTCCATATCAAAAAACAAAATAACAGATAGACTCTTCTCTTTTTCTTCATTCACCACATGATTCATCTGACGTGCATCAATCACTCCAGGAATATTTTTCATCTCTTCAACATCTACTTCCCATGAGACTCCAGATATAACCCCCTTGAGGGGTGCCCTGTTCCTCATTTACAAACCGTACTCCTACAAGATACAAAGTGACATTCCCATCACTGTACTCTACTTTGCTCCTTTTTCCTTTCTTTTGGACAATATTGAAATTCTCCTTGATTCTACCGCCATTAGATTCAGAATCCACTTCATCATCCGCTTCCGCCATCTTTTCGCCGTCATTAACGCAATTTTTTTCCCTAGTCCCACCTCTAATCCCAAAACTGCCACTGTTGTCCCGTGGTGCATTGTGGGAAATTGTGTCATTAGGACTT